CTCCTAGTTGGGCCTATTCTCTTCTCATCTCAAAACAGTTTAAGATACAGTAATCATGAATGATTTCTTTCGTACGTTACGAGCCTTAAGCTATCTGAGAAAGGATTGTGGGAGAGTTTCTTTTCCACAGTCTGGATGTTTAGTATGGTACCCTTTGGGTGACATGCGACGCATTCACTCTCAGGTCATAGTCTCTAGTGCGATTGAAATCGCAAACACAATAAAAAACACTTCTTTCGTAAAAGACAGGAAATAAGCCGTAGTTTCTCGAACTACGTGAGCTCTGATCTCTCATGCCTGTTGAGAGTACATAGGAACAAGATGGCGATGTCTTGGCGAGCTACCTTCCCCCATAATCCTTCGTAGGCCGAACTACGTTGACTCTGATTTCTCATTCTCTGATGAGAATACGTAGGCATAAAGCGCGATGCTTTGCCGAGTCATTTTCTTTTCTTTTTCAGCCAGCCTTGATAGGTAGATAGAATAAAACCAACCCGTCCAAGTAAACACAACAAGCGTGGATCCCGTCGAGTACGACGGCCGTGAGGGGTGCTAATACCTTCCCCTTGCATAACCGACTCCCGAATCCAGACAATGGTTGCGATGACCTTGTCTTACCCTTTTTTCGTCAGGTTTTTCCGATCGTTTCCTTTCCCGTTCTGAGGGATAAATAACGAAAGGTGGCGACTCTTCTGTTGTGCCGACACCTTATTTTCGCGCAAGCGACAATACCTGTATAGGAATAGCCGTTTTGTGTGAACACTTTGAGTTCCTATTTGTTGATACGATGTTGCAATGTTCCTTTACATGAACAGTCGTAAATGTTGAAATTATGTTGTTATTGTTCCCATATGTGAACGAGTAGAAAGTGATGGTTGTATGAGTGGTATGATGTTATGATGCTCTGTTATGGACATTCTGGTTGTAGGCATAATGCCTTGTTATATGGTTGCTATGGTTGTGTTGTAGTCCATAATAGATGCATTTCATGGCATAACATTTGGCCTGGATTGGCGACGGTTGTGCCTGTATTGGCGTTATTTGGAGTGTTGGCTCCTAGATGGGTTCGGGGTGTTGGCCCTGTCCCGAGTTTTAGAGTGTTGGCTCCTAGATGGGTTCAGGGTGTTGGCCCTGTCCCGAGTTGTGGAGAGTTGTCTCCCAAATTGGTACCACATGCATATGCACAATTGAGTCGCATTGTTGAGTCACATGAAGTTGCATAATTATGTTAGTTGTATATTAATGTTGTTTTACGTGAGGTATGGATTGTTGCAGTTGTTGTCGATGATGTTTATGATTTCGGAACTTATAGTGCTGTGATGAGTTTCTGGCATGTTTTCTATCATGCTCTATGTTATATTAATGATATCTCACCCTTTACGTTGTATGTTACCTCCTCTGGTGGTAATTTGCAGGTAGTTCGGAATGAAGTTCCGCTTTGTCGATTAAGTGGTCGTTGGTCGCTCTGATACGTAGCACTCTTGTCGATTAAGTATTTTAGTTGAATTGGTTGTTTTTTTGTTAATGCACCGAATGCTGGTTGTACGCACTGGACCGGTGGGTCGGTAGTGCTGAAATTTATGACTGAACTAATTGTTTTGTTGAATCTATGCAAGATGATTGCTTGCTGAATTTTAATCGAGTTGGTTGCAAGTTTTATGATTTTACTTTAATCATTAAGAATGTTGGAAGTGTTTTATGTTCTGCTGCAAATTAATAAAATGTTGAGAACTCGATATGTTAAGCAAGCTGTCGTATGTTCATCCAAGTTCATGTGCTATGTATCATTACTGAATGCATGTTGCCTAGTTAAATTAAATGGTAAAATGCATGCTTCTGCTAGCTGAAAAATGTGACGCCCAGGTTTTTGTCTGTGTGACGACCGTCACAAGTCCATGACGACCGTCATGCGTACAAATTTCGTGCACTCTGATTTTGATTTATTTTAAATATGCCTTGGGTAGAAATGGGGTGTTACAAGTTTCACAACATGCATCTGTCAAACGCAAGCGAATTCAGGCCACCGATACCGAGGCCAATACAGCTGAGGTACAACGTACTGCACAACCTTTTCTTCATCACATACTCAGGACACTTCCTCGATCTTGTATCCCACTCCATCATCCACTTCTTCATTTCGGAGGCGTTGGGATTCAGCTGAGGGTTTATCACAGGCCCCGTCCTCCCGCAGGCCTCGTCGGGATACTCCTGTTCCTCCTCCTAGCGCCTTTCCTTTTATGTCAGAAAGGAGAACCTCACATGAGCCCCTATGGTCTTATCCACCTCCTTAAGCGCATCAAGTGGATTATACCTAAGCTCCTCAAACAACATCTCTCTCGCATCCTCCTTCGTCATCCTACCATGACGGATGAGGGTACCCCTGATAGGTATATGTAACAGACAAGATATTTCGTCCAATGTAATCGTGATCTCGCCGTGCAGTAGATGGAAGGAGGACGTCTCAGTGTGCCATCTCTCTGCAAAGCCCATCAGCATCCCGTTGTGGATCAAACCGTAACCGATATCACAAAGGCCCTTCAAACCAAAGGCAACAAGGACGTCTTGGAACCAAGCCTCATGTGGCTGATCCAAAGATAATATCTTCCACCCATGGTTATAGAGCTTCAGCAGAGGACGAGTCTGAAAATTTCCATAAATAGGAAAAATATTAATAAGAAATAATGGTACAAATTATAAATTTCCAATGAAAAAAAAGAAACAATCTGAATAATGTTACCTCTCCATCTCAGACATGTCTGGCAGTATGGTCGGCGTACCCTGTCAGCAGGGACATATCTGAGGGACCCCTAGGGAAACCTTCAGGCTCATAATCATTGTCGTTACCAACATCCTCCGGTGGTGGGTCATCACCCTCTAGAGGTGGCATCAGATCAACATCATCGACAAGAGGAGAAACATAAGTATCTTGACGAGGCCCGCGGGAGGACGGGCCTGTGATGAATCCTCAACTGAATCCCGAAGCCTCCGGGATGAAGAAGTGGATGATAGGGTGAGATACGAGGTCGAGGGAGTGTCTTGGGCATGTGATGAAGAAGGTTATGCAGTATACTGTGCCTCAGCTGTATCGGCCTCGGTAACAGTGGCCTGACTCCGCTCGCGTCTGACAGATGCATGATGTGAAACCCGTCCAAGTCGCAATCAATCGTCTCTGTCTACCATAATGTGTGCAAGGTATATCCAAGAAAAAACAATTAGGCACAAATAAATTAAAAAACAAAAAAAGAAACAAAAATTAACATTTTTTTACTTTCGAATATGTACACACGGAAACCTTCCGTAAATATATCAACGGAAGTACCCAGAATTTGATTTATTCCAGAGTTGCATCTACGAAATTTCCCTAACGTTAATTTGTTCCGTAGATGTAGCTCCGGAACTTTCTACAACTCCAACAGTCACGACAATGGCGTCCCCTACTTATGAAAATTAATTTTTTGAAGCCCTGATCGTCCGTTTCAGCCAACAAACAATACCTACATTATCTCTAAACTAGGTTTCTTAAACTATATAAGGATTTCTACCCCTAAAACTATATTCTAACTCGTTTACAAAAAATACTCGAAAATACCTCGGAAACTCGAAAACTTACCGATTATATCGAGTTTTGAATGATTTGGAGTGTCTTGATCGTTGAGATGAATGCTCCTTGTCGAACTTGATTGAAAAAAAATTAAGTTTGATGAAAAAAGATTTTTTGAGGATTCAGAGAGTTTGGAGAGTGAAGAAGATGAAAAATGAAGAATGAGGGAAGAGAAAAGACTCTTGCGCGAATGTATTCTGATATGTTCTGGAGTTATATAAACGGAAACATTTTCAACTAGGGAGCATTAAACACTGGGAGACTTCTTTCTAGAGCAACACATTTGTGAGAGACATACCACATACTCACCCGAAACCTTAAGGCAATAGGTGTATGAGTTCTCTCACTTATAAATGCTCAAGTCACCACATTCCTATCTAATGTGGGACTATTATCCACACTACTCACACTTGTTAATACTTAACACTCCCCTCAAGTGTGAGTCTATCCACAATACTTCTGCAATGCTTTCATTTAAGCAGAAATTTCAATTGTGCAACTGCACCCTTGTACCGTTGTTGACACTCTTCAACAAGACACTAATTCCACGACCTGTGGGGATACTTTCGATACAAGTAAGCCGGTCTCTTACTCGAACCAAAGACTCATGACACCACTATTAGAGAAGATTTTTTAACTAGGGAGCATTGAACATTGTGAGACTTCTTTCTATAGCAACACTTTTGTGAGAGATACACCACATACTCACCCAAAACCTTAAGGTGATAGGTGTATGAGTTCTCTTATTTATAAATGCTCAAGTCACCACATTTCTATCTAATGTGAGACTATTATCTACATTACTCACATTTGTTAATACTTAACAGAAAAAACCAATGTTGAGTAAAAAATAGTACGTCCAAAAATAAATTTTCGAAAGTAAGAGATATTTTTGAAAGCGCATTTAGTGTGTAAAAACTCTAAGGAGTGGTGTAAAAAATCCTCTTAAGGTACTGAGCAAGAATAATTTGGGGGCATGAAGCTAACCCAACAAAGCCCAAACCCAATTAAACATTACTATATTATTATATTATTATTATAGGCTTAAAAACACAAAGTCACATAACCTTTGGATCGTGGGTGAAATTCAATAAAATTGCTGTGAAATTCTACATTCATCACATTAGTTCCGCATTGTGATTCTATTTTACACTCCAAACGACTGAGAATTCACAAAACAACAACGTTAGGTAAACTCCACCGTCCAATCCCACTCTCTTCTGTTTATTATTCTCCTTTCACTTCTAGTTCTTTTGATCGTTGAATGAAGCTACATCAATGTCTAAGATTTTTCTACAAATAAGAAATTGAAATTGAAATTTTCGTCCCTATTTTGAAATTTAGGGTTTAACAGTTTTGTTACGTTTATTTATTTGTTGAATGTTAATGTGAAACAGTGATGGATAATGCATTTGCGAGCGCTTCTGCGATTACAGACCAAAGGCAAAAGATAGAGCAGTATAAGCATATTCTTTCTGCTGTGATTTCATCAAATGATATCGGTCAAGCTAGAAAGTTCATAGACCACAGTAAACTCTCTTTTCTAGGGTTTATTTATTTTAATTTTGTTTTTGTTTTTGTTTTTATTAATATATGAGATTCTTGTAAGTTTACATTTCATTTTGTGTTTCAGTTTTATCAGATGATGTTCCTCTAGTAGTGTCGCGGCAGCTTCTGCAGGGTTTTGCTGAAGAGTTGGGAAGATTGACGCCGGAGACGCAGAAAGAGATTGCTCATTTCATACTTGCCCAGATTCAGCCTCGAGTTGTGTCGTTTGAAGAACAGGTTTGAGTTTTGTGTATTCTGTTTCTCACTACATGCTTGTAATGTTATCTTTCGGTGTATAAGAGAAGTTAACTCGAATGCTGCTTTCTTAAGCATGATAGGAATTATTTTATATCATTCACAAGGAGAGCAAAATAAAACCCTAATATGAAGCACATATACAACATTAGATACATCAGATATGAATATGATATGAAACACACATAGGGATATAGCAGAATTTGAAAACTATGGGCCACAAAATATGACACGGCTATAACTATAATAAGGCGGATAAAATAAAATAGTAAATAATGTTAAAACTTATTTTCTTTAGTTGAAAATATCATTGATATTTTATAAGATAGCATGAGATGTTGTAAACATAATGAGATGTTTCTTTTTATTTAATTATTTATTTTTAACTAAGAAATGGAAGTGAAAAATTTGTTAAGGCAACTGAATGTTTTAAGTGTCAGAGAAGTTTCTTATTCAAATACCTGTCCGATGGGAAATGATTGGCTACCTTTCCTACTTGATAACTTTGGTACCTTTAGTACTAATACTAATGGTGTATGTGTGTAGATAAATGAATAAAATAATTTATTAAGTGAGAGAATGATTAATTAGAGAGGATAGACAAATCAAAGACATGCGGATTCAGATTAAAGGTAGCCCAATCCTTTCCTCTGTTGGATATGGTTGCTAAGATTCAGCTGTGCAATTACTTTAATTTACCTTTGTAGGTATTCTTATTTACTTCGAACATTTTAGTTTACCTCTGACACTTCAAACATTTAGTTTCCTTAATTGCACAGTTGAATCTTAGCAAACCGATAGGGAAGAAAACATATCATTTTAATTTACCTTTGTAGGTATTCTTGCTTGTTTTGGGATCAATTCTCGCGATACAAATTATATAATTACCTCGGTAGTCAATAGAGGCCACTACAGCGTTGTTGTGTATCAACCCTTAGGTGCTACTTGAAACTTTGTTTTGTTGCCGTTTTCGAGTAACACCTGTATTGTAACCCTTAAATTATAGCTGCCCCCTTCAGAATTTTTGTGTGGAAATATTTGGTCATTTTCACCAAAAAAACTTATTTGATCTATATTAGGTTTGAATATAGGTAACAATAAACTTTGATTACTCGTTATGCATGTGTGTTTACTTTTATGTATTCTGTTTTTGAGCTTTTTTATGTGTATGATACAATGTTGCAAACTTCTTGTATAGTTTCTCAAAACTTTGATGAAGTAGCTATAACCCACTATACTATGGCGTTTTGGCTGTGGCTGCAATCTGACATTGACTACATAGTATTTCCATCATTATTTGTATGTTAACTGTTAGGACTGTATAAATTGTAGATAGGTGGCGGTTGTGATAGGGAAAATACAAAATCACTTTCTTTAACAAAATTCAGAATAGCAAAATTTATGTTTTCAGAAACTCTGTCAAAAAAAAAAATTCTGTTCCTATGTCATGCATAAGGGTTTTCTATGTAGAAAGATGCTGGTTGAAAAAATATTCTGAAAGATGTATCTTGCTTTAAGAAAAAAATCTCTTATTACATTACATATCTTTGTTTAAATCAATCACGTAATACCTGTTGAAGTATACATTTTGCCATGCTAATTGTCTCTTGTTTTATTATAGGTTTTGGTTATTAGAGAGAAATTGGCTGAACTTTATGAATCTGAGGAGCAATGGTCAAAAGCTGCTCAGATGCTCAGTGGTATTGACCTAGATTCAGGAATGAGGTCTCAGAGAACTTCCAACCCTATTTACTTGCATAAATGATTGTAATTCTGTCAAAATTTGAAAATGTCTCTTTGTTAATATTTATTCTTTGATTATTTTATCAGGGTAATTGATGATACGTTCAGGTTATCAAAGTGTGTCCAAATTGCCTGTTTATATCTTGAGGTATTTATTTTATATTTTGTGCAAGGAAATCCATATTTGATAGATGTAAGGTTCAAAGACCATATTAGGAGATCTAATTTGCCAGAGTTTATGTATTCATATGTATAAATTGAATCACGTGTCCTGGTTTCAAAATATTTAATAAGAATATAATTTTATATCTGAACTTAACTTTTCACATAGTGTAGTGAAGGTATAAAATGAATCACTTCAATGCTGTATGAGGTGCTTGTTCCCCTTTAAATAGTGTCGATATATTGGTTTTAATGCCAGAATCATAAAGTTTATTTTAAATAATTCTATCTGTATTTGCCAGGATGACGATGCTGTCAATGCTGAAGCTTTCATTAATAAAGCATCATTCTTGGTTAGCAATAGCCAGCATGAAGTGCTGAATTTGAAGTACAAGGTTTGAAAATGATAACTGAGCTTAAAGATGCATACATGGACCTTGTCTAATTTGGTTCTCGTTTATTCTTCTATTTTCTTTAGGTTTGCTATGCAAGGATCTTAGATCTGAAGAGGAAGTTCTTGGAGGCTGCCTTACGATATTATGATATTTCTCAAATTGAGAAAAGGCAAATAGGAGACGAGTATGCATCCTCCATGTTACTTTTTCCCTCCTATGCTTTCATAATCTTTGCCTTAACAGATGCCAAAACATATCTGTTCATGATTGATGGGTTATTGCTTTCCAAATCATTTTGGCATCTATGGGCTGAACTAATAGCATTATACAAGTTTATGAGTCTAGGTATTTAAACTGAATTAAATCATTGACAAAATCGTTTGTGTAATCACATAGATCTGTATAGACTCGCATAGAACCGCAAGAATAAGAATTTACAGTATAGTGGTTATATCCCCAGACATGCCTGAAATTGCACTGGTTCAGGATTTAAAAAACAATCCTTAATGCATATAACTGAATAACAAGGCTATGTAGTGCACAAAGATAACCTCACAACTGTTTCATTAGACACCATACATAGATGCATCTAGCATCCTAACATGTACCCATCTGTTAAGGAGGTGAACTGTGTTGCATTGAGTCTCAACCCCATTGCTCCCAACACCAACAAATTCATGAACCTGTAAACATGAACAAACTTATAATTGCAAGTTTGCAATGCCTATGACCCAGTAGGCCTATGAGGTGAATTAACCCAGATTTGATAAGCTTAGTCCTAGCTATATTGTGTCATGTCCAGCTCCAATGAAGGGAACCTATTCCCATAATCTCTCACTGCTATTAATTTTTATTATTATTAACTTGTTATGCTCTTTTTGTATGTGGATTGTGAACCATGTGATTTATTTGTCCATAATAAGTTATGAATTAGTTATATCTAAAATTAGTATACATACGTTAATTTGTGTTTAGATACATTAAGCTGTTATACATTAAGTTACATAGATTCTTTAGTTTGACAACACCAATTATATCTTAAATGCTGCATATGTTCGCCAGTTATCACATTTGCACTTTAAAATACAGGGAAATTAATGAGGAAGCACTTGGGCAAGCTTTATCTGCTGCTGTTACATGCACAATATTGGCAGGCGCAGGGCCCCAACGTTCCCGTGTTCTTGCCACATTGTACAAGGTAAAACTTCAATCATATAAAACAATATACAAATGTAAAATAGTCAAATCTTAATACATCAATTTTTGTGGACTTGGATTAGGATGAGCGATGTTCAAAGTTGAAGATCTATCCCATACTGCAAAAGGTCTCTCTCCCCAACTTTCCTATTCCCCCTGTTCTTTGTCTGCCTCATTTGACTTTCCACACTGGTCATATAATGTGATTCCTTTATACATCAGGTGTATTTGGAAAGAATTCTTCGAAGGCCTGAAATTGATGCTTTTGCAGAAGAATTGAAACCACATCAGGTTATTAAAGTTTGTGTTGTATTGTATCTGTACATTTTTGGTTGTCATGATGTGCATGTTTCAGCTTTTCCTTTTCCACAGAAAGCCCTTCTTCCAGACAATTTCACTGTGCTGGACCGAGCAATGATTGAGCATAATCTTCTCAGTGCAAGCAAACTTTATACTAATATCAGGTATGAGAAATTAGATTATCAGTTTATTGTTTCCTTATGTGTTGATTTTTTAATATTTTTACTGTTTGATTATTTTATTGCTCCACTTAATCTTTCTGTTTGCCTCTATTGTAGCTTTGATGAGTTAGGCACACTACTGGGAATCCCACCTCCCAAGGTATAGAATTTTTTATCTAAAGTTATATTTATTTTCAGTAAAGAGCAGTGCACCTTAATAGAACATATCTGTCAATCGAATCCAGCATTTCATGTTTCTGATATATATTCCTTATCAGATTTAAATAAGAAAAAACGGTAATTGAAAGGTGTAGCATATTGATAATGGCTTTTATGCAAATTACTGAACAAAAAGGTTCCGGAGGAGGGAAACCCTGCTGGCAGTGGTTTTTCTTGTATTAATTCAATGGCCGGCCTACAGCTAGTAAGATTTGGGTTGCTTTGATTTTTCTCTCACAATTATTATACTTTCAGGCTGAGAAGATAGCTTCACGGATGATTTATGAGGATAGGATGAAGGGATCTATCGATCAGGTATAGATAAATGTTAAATAACCATTACTACCCCTTAAGTTCATAAAAGTACTCAGAAATAAGAATAAGAATGTTAATATTAAGGTTGAGTTTTGAATGATTTATATCAGGTTGAAGCTATCATACATTTTGACGATGACACTGAAGAGTTGCAGAGATGGGACCAGCAGGTATGTTTTTCACAAATAGTCAGTCAATTCACATGGACTGTAAGAAAGCTAGAATAGGAAAATGGTTCAGTCATTCTTAAATCTTCTAAACCTTACTGATGGTTTGGTGTTGCAGATTGTTGGCCTATGTCAAGCTCTCAACGATGTTTTGGATAGTATGGCTAAGAAGGGCATTCCAGTTCCTGTTTGACTTGGATTATTGCCAAATTTCTCATGATTTGGAATTACAGATACGGTTTATCCAAAGTGTTTATATATGGCCACTTCTTCTGTTTAATTCTGTAGTTCATCTCAGTTGTGCGGGATATAAATATGCTACAAATAGATAGATAGATACATTAGTTTTCTCATGTATTGAAATTACAGATTCAGTTTATCCAGAAAGTTTATATGGCCATTTCGACTTAGGTTAATATCTATCGTGTGATTCGTTAGTGGGAGGCTTGTCCTTTTCATTTGAACACAACCATTTTGCTGCCTCATGATTCATGATTTATTTATTGAATTCAATTTAATGAATACTTCTAAAACAAAATTTTCAGAATTTGGGATTCCTGACATTATTGAGTTAATCATAAGCGGTGTTACTTCTACTTTAGCATTGAAATGGAATAAAGACAAATTTGAGGGTTTCCACCCAAAATCATGTCTATCTTTTCTTTTTTGAATTTCACTTTAGTTTTTGAAAAAAATAGTTTAGAGATGAATCTTCGTATTATATTTGGGTGTATTTGAAGATATATTTTTGAAATATTCCTGAATTCATTTATAGGTCTATTATTCATACAAATGATATAAATAACAATTTAGTGATTTTTTAAAGATGCATCTTCGAAAATGTCTAGCAAAAAAGTTGATAAAACATTACCTTGCATGAGCTTCTTCATGCTAAAAGAAGAAACCATAACAAAACTTTTGAAATTTTTTATCTCATTCTCAATCAACTTTTCAACACTGAAACATCATTCTTGTATTTCATTACTTCAATGAGAGAAAAATAAGTTGGAATTGCAGATAAATATCATTCATTTTATCCCTCATTCCTTGCATTAATCTTAGTTTTTTTTCATGGAAAAAGAATGTTGATCCCAGTGATGCATTTCTAGATGAAGTTAGGTGACTTCTAGATGTTTATATTTGAATTTTCCTGATAGTTTGAAATGTAATATTACTTTTCTGTTATTGGTGGTAATAGATATGGTGCATTTGGTTATGTTTTCCAAACCTGTTAAATCGGTCTAAGTGAAACATGATGTTAAATCGGATGAAACAAATGATGATGTTAAACCAGATGCTCGAGCGATCGGTGTAAGGGTAGATGTTAAACCGGATGAAGCAAATGATGATGTTAAATCGGATGCTCGATCGACTGGTGTAGGGCTAGATGTTTGTGCATAACTTACTAATAAATAAATGTTTTTTGTTCGTGAACATATTCTACAATGGCCCCGTAGGGAGGCCGGGAAAATGAGGTTTGACGTTCTAATAGGAAGGTCTGACACTGGTTTGAATATAAGACAAACATTTGTAACAATGGTATGCGAAAGAAGTGACATGTACCAACCAAAGATTAGGAAGTTGAAATGAGATGAAATTGGATTGAGAAAATGTGAGTGTACGTTTAAATTGCGCGAATGCTGATGGCGGATGAGACATGGAAATTTAATGTGGTTTCTGATATACATAATCATGCCTTGACTGACAAGTTAGTCGACCATCCCATTAAATGTCGCATTGTGCCGAAAGAGAGTGAATTTGTTTCGACGTGACATTAAACATGCTGACTCCGAAAAAATACTCATCACTTTAAAACAGAAAAGACCTTTAAATGTTTCAAATGTCAAGTAAATATACAATTCGCGTGCTCGAGACAATAAGGCGGTAAGAGAACCAAGATTTGAGACACAACAACTGTTAAAACTTTTGGAAGATGAAGACTATGCATCGAGGTACAAAGTATGTGAGGATAAAGCCACTGTTCGAGATATATTTTAGAGTCATCCCGATTTCAGAAGTTGTTAAACACCTTTCCATCCGTGCTCATAATTGACTCAACATACAAAACAAACAAGTATATACTTTCACTCTTAGAAACTGCTGGTGTTACTTCTACGTAGATGACTTATTCTGTCGATTTTATATTTTTGGAATCCGAAAAAGAGGACAACTTACACTGACTTTAAAAATGTGCAAGAGTATGTTGAAGGAACAAAAAAAAATGCCACAAGTCATAATCACCGATCGCGACACCGTACTGATGAATTCGGTTGCAACAGTTTTTTCTACATCATTCACATTACTCTGTAAGTATCACATAACCAAAAATGTGAGAAATCAATACACGAAACAAGTCCAAGGTGAAGATGGTAAAATTGTCAAAAATATTGAAGCGATGTCGCTTTTTGTGCACAAATAAATCAAAAGGATTGTAGATGTTGAAGATGAAGGCAACTGTGGTTTTCAAGCTGTTTCGAGTTTACTCGGTAAAAGAGAGGAGGACCGCCAATTTGTTCACCGTCATCTTATACAAGAGATGACGATACATAGGGAATCATACACAAAGTTATACGAGAACAAAGCAAATTACGATATAATTCTCAATGCTCTTGTTCCTTGTCACAGTGGACCAATTTTGTTTGGAAAATGGATGCGCTTTACAGAAAAGGGACATCCTATATGATAGGGTGCACATTGATTTAATACGATATGGTTTCTCAGAAACATTCTTTCCACTTAGGAGTAAGCCACCTCATAATCCATCTGAACGCATCATGTGTATTGATTGACTAAAAAAATATAACATTTTATTCAGACTTATTTGAAACTGCGATGTCCTATACCAAAGACATCACTCGAGTGGACGCCACATTTTACACAAGATGTTGAAACATGACCGAATCACTTTCTTGAAAGGATGGAAGAGTTCATAAAGCTGAGCGACATTGAATGAGAAGCAAATAAGAAAATGTCGAAGATTCAACCACCAATAAATTTAGGTAGTGATTCAACTTTTGATACATTTTAGTTATAATATAACAATGTAACACGTTTTTTTTAAAATAACACATCGTATAATGTTAAAATTGGACATTTATGCACTCATAATGTTTAACTTTTTAATTTTAAGGGGTTTATATGTTAACATCCTCTTGAAACTTTTATTTTATTTTTTACTTTAATTATTTAATTATTTATTTATCAATTGAGTGTAATATATTTAGATAACGATTTTTTTTATAATTTATTTTACTCTAATATTTTAATAATTTAGTTTTATATCTTAAAAATTTTATGAATTAGTTTTGGTCCTTATATTTTTTTGGTTTCTCTTGACTTTTATACATGTAGTCTTCTCATTTATGATGTGACATTTTGACTGTGGTTTTAGGTAAGCATTTTTGACTTTTTAAAAAAAGAATAAATTATTATTTATAAAAACATTTAATATAATTAAAAATAGGGTTATATATTTATTTAAGGTTTAAAATTTCAGAAAAACAATTTTTCGTCACATTTTTAGATTCATCCTATTCGTCCTTCGTCATTCACCCCTTCATGTTTGTGTTCTTCTGGCCTTCATCTTCACACCTTTATCTTCTTCACATCTTTTTCTCTTATTTATTTGCACCTTGTTTGTAAGATGTTGCAACAGTCAATTTTCAACCATGGAAATAGATCAAATCATTTGAAGTATGAAAGCAAGTGTGGTCTTGATGCTCCTTTGATGATGACATGGACATATCGAATCTAGGTACGAATGTAAGGTATGCTTTAATATCTAAAATTCTTGATGTTGTTATGTCTTACCTAGTTTACGATCTGTCATTTATTCATATTCCTTCATCTCCATTCATATTTCCAATTTCTGTAACACCCCAAATTTATTGGAATATTTATTTAATTTGTTTAAATATGAATATTCGTATTTTTGGTGATTTTCAGTGGTTGGTGTAAATATTGAGAATTATGGATTTTGGGTTATTTATTTAAATAATAGTATATAATATGAATATATTGGTATTATTATTAATTTAAATAAATGCAAGTTAACTAAGAGAAAATTGGACGATTAAGGAGGAGTTAGTGAGGGTAATATTGGAAAAGCCTAATTTATAGACCCAAAGTTAGGTTTAACAAAAACAGATTTTTGAGGGAATTAGGATTCATTCTTTATAGACCGTGAAAAGAGAAGAAATAGAGGCCAGAGCTCTGAGGAAGAGGATTGAGGCAAAAGCTTCGCAAGGTTTCCGAGAATCAAGAGAAAGGCTTAGAGTCGACAATTAAAGTATGTGGAGTATTGCCTTCATTGTTTTCAATGTGTGATTTCAATGTGTTTAAAGTCGATTTAAGGGTTTAAGGGTAAAAGGTTTTGTGAGCATTTGTATTGTTGTTGCCTTTTTAAGGTGTAAGAGTCTTAAGGGATTTAAACTGATGGTCTGATAGATTTGAGATCGATTTGGGTTTGAGGGAAAGTAGGCCCTCGTGGCCAAAATCTGTCGTTGAGGTTTCAAGCCTGTAGGGCAATTAGATTGTGAGAAACTCTAATGACCGTGGTGTAGTTGTAAGGAAATTATGAGAATTAGAGCGTGAATATGATACGGGATTAGCCTAATAAGTCGTAGATTTTGTGCCTTTATCGCCGTAATACCATAGGAATGATTTAGGGATGTTTTTGGGTTATTGGGGAAGTGAATCGTGTAGATTTTTGGGTTGGTTTTGGTTATGGTGTGTAATAGCGTTTTGCTGTAATCGCGTGTTCTCAAAGCGAAGAATCCTTCGCACAACGAATAAACTCGCCCTAGACTCGCACAACGAACTTGCTAGCGAACGTATCAGATTTTTACAAATGCTGACTTTGTGCAGTGATGCCTTGATGTTTGATGCTGTGATTTCTTTGACGAATTAATATGAGTATGACTGTGATTTCTATGTGATTACTACATGATTATATGATGATTCCCATGATGTAATGATGATTTTGATGAATGATGATGCACCTATGATGTTATTATGAGGATGATTATTGACGTGTGCATCCGGACTTCGGTTCAGGATCTTAATTTCTTTGGCTTCAGTCCCATTGTGCGGATGTGAGGTATTTTGATGTGCTCCACTTCTTGTATATAATCAATCCTATTGATGGGGATCTATGGAGGGTTGATGGCCCAGTGTCCATCGAGCTGTGATGAT